AGCTTCCTGGCGGGCTCGGCGCGTGGAGCTGCGAACACGCCCGAGCCCATCACTATTGCTGACCTGGACTGTCTGACCCTTCTGCGCTTGCTGCCTGCCCTGATCTTCTGCCTGGACCTGATTTTGCTCTTGTCTCCTGCGTTTATCCTCTGATTAATCGTTGCTGACCTTGGATTGCCCGACCACCCTCTGCTAGTCGACTGCCTGGAACTCTGCCTGAATCTGACTACTGCCTCCTCATTGGAGCCCTCCTGTTCTCGTCCATCCCTTGGCAGGGCAACCCTGGAGACCGCGACCTGGTACCAGCAAGCAGCCAAGCCCATCTCCACCATCAGTGAACACCGGCTGGTACTTAGACTCCACCCCTCAGGTAAGCCCGTGTCACCTGCCAGGGGGTGTCACCCTAACAGTTGGCCAAGCGTCTGCCCACCAACAATAGCTTTATACATGGTCACTGTCACTGACATTGCATTGCGCCAACCTGCGATTTGCATGATGCTGAAGAATACTTTAGGCCTATGATCCCTTGAAGTAAAGGACCACTCGAATGTAAGCGCTGCAGGTCTCATAGGCCCCAGCTCTGCAGTAATGTCTTTGCCCCCTCTCCTCTTGACCATTCACAAAACAAAGCCTGGGGCTGCATGTTTTGTAAATGGCCAGGAGGAGCGGGAGGCGAAGACCCAATCTCAGTGCTGGGCTCTATGAGACCTGCAGATCTACCGAGTGACCTGGAAGTACAGCGGGCGCTCTACTAATCCTGGCGCTTCTTTCCAGTGATTTCATGACCGACCGACGTCAATAAAGGCGTGTTGATGATGCAAATTTTAGCGTGCTGGTGACTTACTCTCTATGTTATATTAGTTTGTGGGGCTGCAGAACCCACCGAGAGACAACAGTGTGATGGGATATCTACATTTAGAATAATGGAGACCTGAGAATAAAGGCCGAGACTCACTTTAACGGTTTCTTCCCAATGTATTGTTTTCTATGGGTCTGAGGTCCTGTGTATGGACCATATTTATTCTGCATGCATGTAAACACTTGTGCTAACATTTACCGGTGTGCAGAGCAAATGCAGCCTAGCACCCTAGCAGCCTAGCGGGTCCTAGTTACATAACATTCTGCCCATTTCCTGGGGCTATAGTCAGCAGATTTGTGCAGATGTGTTATCTAGGTTTACAGACTGCCATTGAAGGGGACCTGTAGAACGCCCCTACATAGGGACACAGCAAACCCAAGAGATGATCTAGTCACTAGTCCAGGTATGTCCACACTGCAGCCCTCTAGCTGTGGTAGAACTACGAATCCCATGAGGCTTTGCAAGATTCTCACAGCCACAGACATGACTCCCGGAGAGAGATGCTTCATGGGATTTGTAGTTTCACCAGAGCTGGGGGGCCGGAGTTTGGACATCCCTGCACTAGTCTAATCTAGGCTTCATGGCTCAGTGAGAAAAAGGAGGGTGGAAAGAAGCGCTGCAACCCTGGGAATTTTCTGGGGTGGTAGAGATAGAAACTTTAAAAGCAATGTTTGACTGAAAACTCACTGTTTTGGAGGACAAGATAAGGTCTCTCAGTTGTGGAGTGAAGGCTGTGTAGATCGCTCAGCAGTAAGTTTCGCCGGTCCTTGTGGGTATAGTGAACCGGCTACATCGTTAATAGGCAGTTCATAGATGTTCCTTGGTAGTAGTAGTAAACCACTTCTGGCTTGACAAAGAGGTCTTGAACCTCGAAACGCGTAGCCAAACCTTTCATCCCACGGACCGCAGTGTCCATCACCTTCACATCAGTCCCGCACAAACATTTTTTCCACAATCGCAGATCCATCACATTACGGATCTACAGCCGCACTCCTGCTCCCGTTCAGCCGACGAGTGACAGCCTGGCCAGCTGAACTCTCATTGCACCTGACGGTGCGTGCCAAACCTAGCAGCGGAATTCACTTGTCCCCACGGACCCCCCAGGCACAACAACTACCAAGGAAGATCTATGAACTGCCTATGAACGATGTAGCCGGTTCACTATACCCACAAGGACCGGCGAAACTTACTGCTGAGCGATCTACACAGCCTTCACTCCACACCTGAGAGACCTTATCTTGTCCTCCAAAACAGTGAGTTTTCAGTCAAACATTGCTTTTAAAGTTTCTATCCCTACCACCCCAGAAAATTCCCAGGGTTGCAGCGCTTCTTTCCACCCTCCTTTTTCTCATATGTCTACAGGGCTCCTCCCCCTGAATAAGAAGCTTGCTCACCCCATTCTGTTTTAGCCTTTTTTTTACATTTTTTTAAATTGTTGTAATATTAAAATCTGTTTTAAACATATCCTTTCCTCTTATACATTCCATATCAGTTGTGCGCTCGCCATTTTTACCGTTTTTATCCTTCATGGCTCAGTGAACCTCCAGCTCTGGTGGTCCGCTGTGACACTGAATAATGTCAGTAAGGTGGTTAGATGTGTATACCCGGACTTGGGGGTCCGCTGTGACACTGCTAACATCTACAGAAAGAACTCCATGTAGTCTAGGACTGTTGATTCAGCAGAGATCTTCAAACAACATCCTTCCTCTTTGGACACTATGCTAAACTGGGCTTGGTCAGTATGTGTGGGAGGTGTAGACACTAGGGGGAGCTGTGACTTTCTGCTTTAACCCGGTGTCCATCTATCTAGAGCAGGTGTAGCAAACCTCCAGCTGTGGTGAAACTACAAATCCCATGAGGCATTGCAAGATTTTCACAGACATGACTCCCGAAGAGAGATGCATCATGGGATTTGTAGTTTCACCACAGCTGGAGGGCCGGGGGTTTGCTACCCCTGGTCTAAAGGCAGGGCATATACCCAGAGGTCTCTGCATCCTCACCCATGAACATTGGGAGAAATAACCTTTAGTAGGCGTAATACAATGTGCGTAATATAGCGCCTGTTACCTCTCTGAGTTTATTCTGAGCCTCGGCCAGAGATGCCTGCTTCTCCTCCAGCTGTGCCATGGCTGCGTTCATGCGGGCCCGTTTAGGCTCGATCACGCGGAATATCCGACCGTACATCTGCCGAGAAAGAAAAGATGTAACCAGGGGATGGAGATATAGAAAGTCTTTCCCCAAAGCTCAGAAATGTTTAAATCCCGTTGGCTTCCGATAATGCGCTCACCTCCATGGCTCGCGCCCACATGCACAGGGAGCGGGCCGCCAGAGACACCCTGCCAACAATGTCTGGCTGGAAGTCCGGCAGGGCGCAGTACTGGCCGATCTTTTTCAGGACCCGCTCGGAGATATTGTCCTTGTCAAAGTTGATGAGCTGCTTGATGAAGTTGGCTTCACCTGGAAAACAAAAGAGCCACAAAAACTGGGCACTGTGAAAGGTCCACGTACACTGGTTCACTCTAACAAATGTAACACTTTAAACTCACTTTGTGAGAGAGCAGTCCCTGCCACAGAAGCTCCACCCGCTGCCTCTGCCCCAGAGCTTACAATCTAATGTCCCCCCACTGTCACACACTATTATTATACATTTATATAGCTCTGACATATACTGCAGTGCTGTACAGAGAACACTAAGAGGGTTAATTCACAAAGCTAGCTGAAGGATCCAGACATAGCTGCGACTGATCCTTCGGCTAGCTTCGGCCGTAGAACCGAAGGACTGCTGTACGGGCTATTTACAATGCTGAAGGCATATGCTTCGGCTCCATCGAGCTGAAGTGACACCCGAAGCAAGGCGATTGGCCGGCCGAAAGCCTTGCAACAGCTGGGCGGAGCCTGCCATGATCTCACGGCTGGCTCCGCCCAGTTGCAATGACAGATCCAGCATCCCCATCCCAAGCCATGACGCCCAGATGTTATTCATTGGCCGGGACCTGCTAGAAGACTCACTGCCAGCTCCGCCCAATTGTTTTATGTTGTTTTTTTAATGCAATCTTTCATTTTTTTCAACTTTTTTCACTGATTTTCTATTCTGCTCCGTACCACGGAGGTACCGAGCAGAATAGCCGAGCAGAATGCCAATCGGCGGCATTTGCCTATTTACTCACTGCCGTTTGGCCCCTATGAGAATAGGCCGAACGGAAGTGAGTAGCCTGCCGGAGGTTCGGCTGAGCCGATCCAGACGTTGGATCGACCGAGTCGAACGTGTTCTTCACTTCGGCTCAGACGAACATGCTGAGCATGTTCGGCTGAACCGAAGCCAGCCGAAGCAAGCCGATGTACGGCTGAAATCAGCTGTACAAGCCTGAAGTGAATAGCCAAAGAGCGCTCGGCTCACTTCACTTCGGGTGGGTATATTCACTCGGCTGCCTTCGGCAGCTTTGTGAATAACCCTGTAAGCCATTCAAATGCACTACAGGAGCTTACACTCTAATGTCCCCCCACAGTCACACACTATTGCTGTACAGAGAACACTGAGCCAGTCACATCAGTCTCTGTACAGAGGAGCTTACACTCTAATGTCACCCCCACAGTCATACACTATTATTATACATGTATATAGCTCTCACATATACCGCAGTACTGTACAGAGAACACGGAGCCAGTCACATCAGTCTCTGTACAGAGGAGCTTACACTCTAATGCCCTCCCACAGTCACATCGGTCTCTGTACAGAGGAGCTTACACTCTAATGCCCTCCCACAGTCACATCGGTCTCTGTACAGAGGAGCTTACACTCTAATGCCTCCCCACAGTCACATCAGTCTTTGTACAGAGGAGCTTACACTCTAATGTCACCCCCCCCCCACAGTCACATCAGTCTCTGTACAGAGGAGCTTACACTCTAATGTCTCCCCACAGTCACATCAGTCTCCGTACAGAGGAGCTTACACTCTAATGTCCCCCAACAGTCACACTATTATTACTATAGATTTGTATAGCTCTGATATATACCGCAGTGCTGTACAGAGAACACCCAACGGCTCAAATGATTCACCAGACGAACCTGTCCAATTTCTCCTCGGCAGTCATACATACACACGCTGCACTTCGCCCTATGTCAGCCTTACCTAGCTGCCTCTTGGCCTCGGCCCAAGTGGGTTCGTTCCCTCTCAGGATCATTACGGCCTGCATGACGGTCTCCACCAGAGGCGGTGGCCGTCCATAGGCTTTGATTTCCGACAGGTCCCTCTTGTTCAACGTCTCCAGGGCCTATAAGAAAGGGAACAGAGAGATCTGAAATGCAACTTTCTAAAGGGAAAAACGTCATTAACCCTAAAAAGGACTTCTGACATTTCTCATAGAAGAGTGACGCAGCCTCCTGGAGTGGGTCACAGAACTAGACCGCATTATGGGAATGGAGAACCTCCCGGCACAAGAAGATGACAAAGAAGAAACCTTTAC